AGAAAACTGTATAGTTTATCCTTCAAGAGAAAACTGTAGAGTTTATCCTTCAAGAGTAAACTGTAGAGTTTATCCTTCATGAGTAAACTGTATAGTTTATACTTTAAGAGAAAACTGCATAGTTTATCCTTCAAGAGAAAACTGTAGAGTTTATCCTTCAAGAGTAAACTGTAGGGTTTATCCTTCATGAGTAAACTGTATAGTTTATCCTTTAAGAGAAAACTGTATAGTTTATCCTTCAAGAGTAAACTGTAGAGTTTATCCTTCATGAGTAAACTGTAGAGTTTATTCTTGTTTTGGTTTATCTCTTGCACCTTTCGTTATTTACATGTATAGAAAAGACACAGTATTATGCTTTTTAATGTTGTTATACAGCAAATGTTTACCAACTGAAAACTCATCTCAATATGCTTAATTGCTCTGTGAACATTGCACAATTGTCGTGTAAATATATGTGGCTTGTGGATCCCAATTTTTCTAAAATTTCGCATAATTTTGCGACTCTTCCAATAGACTCAAAATATATTTTTGTTTTGTTCTCTTCCTGATCAATATGATTATCTTATTACACTGTTATTCTCATCTTTATGAGCAAAAGCATGCTTTCAAAACACTCCGCATTCAAAACATGTTTTTAACAGTTTAAGAGATCTAAGGCATAAGCGTTTTTTGTCCAAAAAAATCATATAGAAAATGATCATTTGAAATTTATAAAATCGGTCAAAGTCCTTAAAACAGCAAATACCAAATGAAGAAAGGAATTGAGTTTTTGCCACAAACTCTGATTTTTTTAATTTCTATAACTTTGCAACCTGTTTTCCTAGACCTTTGATATTTCAAACTATTATTTCTGTTAGATCATATGGTCTAAGTTTGAAATATCAAAGGTTTACGTCCTCAGGTTGCAAAGATATATGAGTTAAAAAATGCGAGTTTGTGGCATAAACTCAAATCCTTTGCAAGAAATTTGAATTTTCTAAACCCTGCTCCTTCGTAACTTGATGGTGACCTATGATATTTCAAATTGTGAATTCTGTTTGATAGCCAACGTTTGAAATATTAAAGGTTTACAACATCATGTTGCAAAGATATTGGGATTCGAAAAATAGAACTCGTGGCGATTGTTCATTTCCTTTCCTATACTAAACCTGAAATTTAAGTTAGCTGAGCCCGCGATTTAAAAATTCGGGAAAACACGACTCAGGTTTAAGCTGTCGTTAGGCTTATTTACGGCTTGGGCTTTTAAATTTAGGTTGCGTATAATTTTCATAAAACCGGTTTATTAATGTATTCGGCGGATTTCAAGGTTGGAATTGCGCATTCCGGATTTTGATGAGAACAAGACTCAACATTGAGACTTATTCTCCACCAAACCCAATCATGATCTGTTTTATTTTCATTGGGCCGAACTCCGTTGGTCAAGCCTAAGATCTGGCAGCTGTCAGTCACGTGACACAAGCTGTCGACAGAGTGGGTTTAAAGTTGCGTTTTAAAGCTGGATTTAAATCATTTAAATCGCGGGCCCTGTAATATTTTTTGTGATAACTTACGTTTACATTTTACCAGCGTAGTTAATATTTTCCGTTTCACATTCTTTTACCGGACAAACCTGAAATAAGAACTAAAATTATATTCAGATTATTGCACCATTAATATCAGCTGCTACGATAAAAGTTATAAAAAAAGTCGTGGAGAGAACAATGACAGCTGCGTATTAATAGTTTACGCTGTATTTCCACCCGCAAAAACTAGACTTCTCCGTAAGTATTTCTGAAAGACAGTTTAACTTCCTTGGTGGCTGATTTTTTTTTCTTTAAAAAAGTTCAGCGTATGTTTACATACAGTACAAGATAAACTTCATGAAGCATTCTTTTATAAGGAAGGAAAAGTTCAGTTCTACTTCTAAGGTATGCAAGGTGTTTGACAGTACGTTCACGATATATCTAGTTTACAAGGTTCGCGTTGGGAATCGAGCACACTTGAAACTAAAAACCACTAGAAACCTAATACTTCTTAAAACAAGAGGTCTCTTGAAACCAAAGTTCATGAGAAACCATCTTGGTTCACTTGTAACCAAAGTTCATAAGAAACCAAAGGTCACTTGTAATGTAACCAAAGGTTACTAGAAACCAAAGGTTACTTGAAACCAAAGGTTACTTAAAACCAAAGGTTACTTGAAACCAAAGGTTACTTAAAACCAAAGGTTACTTAAAAACCAAACGTAACTTGTAAACAACGGTAACTTCTAACCAAAGGCTACTTGTAACCAAAGGTCACGTAGAAACCAAACGTCGTTTAAAACCTAAGATAAATTGCAACCAGCTCTCGACTAGACATGCTTCCTAAAATAAATTATAGCTCATAAAGATCAGCAAAAAAGTTTTTTTTTATTTTAGGTGATTTTAAGGGACTGCGGACATAACTTTAAGGGACCCTCCGAGTATAAGATGATGTGTCTCATTCACAACGGAACGCAGAAAATCTTTAACTGATCAAGGATGAATGAAATATTCTCTATATTTTCTTGCTGAAAATTAATCATTTCCCTTTATTGTTTCTCCATAAAAGTGATTAGAGATTGTAAAAAGAGAAATAAAATAGAAACTTATCAGAGAAAAAGACTACTGCTCAGCACCATAGTTTCAGTAGAAGTAAATATTTCCATTTACTGATAGTGCCGATTGAAGGATTCATAACTCTGATTGGATAATGAGATAGATAGAAAGATAGATGTTACCACCATACTATTTCTATTGGTTTAGAAAATACACCATACACATGATTGAACCCTGATTGGATCAGGCGCTAATGGACTCGGCATACAGGAGTGCTCAGGTATAGGTATGAAGGGCAATGTTGTGAATCTGACATGTCACTCCACACTCCCTTTCAAGAAAAGCAATTAACGTTAAAAACAAAGGCATCCCATTGTTTTCAATGAAATACACAAACCATCCTGGATATACAGTGTGTCCCACGAAACATGACAGTTGGTAAATAGTTAAAAATGTCTTCTTCCATAATTTGTTAGGTTGTTTGATACCAAAGAGAAAATGAAAAATATTATACGGTAGTCATATTATATTAAAATGGATTTCAAACTGACCTATATTTGAGTAAAAGATTTTTTACAAGAAATAAACTTCAAAATGACAATTATGACTAATATAGTTTATGGAAGAAGACCTTCAAAACTATTCACGAACTGTCATGTTTCGTGGGACACCCTGTACATGTCAATAAAC